CATGTTCTTAGAACCTCTAGTGCTTTATCATTCTCTTCAGCTAAGAAACAGGAAAGATAGCCACTGAAATTGGGGCTAATTCTGATTCAAACTATCTTGATTTTTTGCATAAAAGTGTAAATGTTCTGTGCTCAAATTAGAGTATCTAAACTGTATTTCTCAAACTCAGTGTACATGGAATGAAAGGATAAATTGCAATAAATGTGAAAAGACAAGTCATTTTATTGTGGCAGGATAAAGAGACATTCTAAGAGTGGGCAAAAAACCAAAGGATTCTGATTAGGACTTCAATTAGGAAGAGAACTTTAGTAATGAAAAAGAGAACGGGCCTTTAAATATAAATATTTATTGAAAAAGAGAAGGCGACCAATGCACATTTGTATAGTCTTATATGCAGAGGATGAAAATTGGGGCCAGCAGGTGGCATGGTGGTTGAGGTGCTGGACTCCACGTGATTGACCACGGTTTGATTCCCACATTTGGCATCTTGCTTTCTCTCTCTCCCTTTCTCTCTGCCTGTCTCTCTCTGGTCAAAATGGAAGAAAAATGATAAATAAATTTAGAAATAAATTTTTTTTTAAAAAGCTGATGATGGTTTTTTTAATAGTAGATTCAGTATGGAATCCTTTAATTTGGAGCCCTCTCCTATGTTTAATGCCCCCTACTTCTACTGATCTCTTTTTCTAGAGTGTTTGTTTTCAGTAGGTAACTGGAAATTGGAGGTTTATATGAAGCTCAGAAATAAATCAGACTAATTTGAAATGCTGGAAGTCAGGAGAGTATTTGCCTAAACACTGTTGTTTAAAATTTGTTTATGTTTCAGGATTTCCCACTTTAGGTTGTTATTTGGTAGGAAAACTGATATTTGTATACTGAGCCATTTAGATGGTATTTAGAATAAATTAGAATTGACTTAATTTAAGTCTTGTACTACCTAGGTACCATCATTAAGTCATCAGTTGTTAATATACTTAGATACCTAGTACCAGTTGTGCACAGACAGTATACTTTGGATAGAAACAAGTGAGATGTGAAATTGGCCATATTTGTATGGTGTTCAGCTGATTTCAGAATTAGAACAGTGGCTTTTTGTTTTTGTCATTTTTCACATTGTGCATGCTAGACCAACTCAAATCTTTAAAATTGTGAATAGGGTTTACCCAGGTTGTCACTCTTACTCGACAATGTTGTCTGTTTCAGAAGATGGAAGTCTAAAATGGAATCTCCAGAAGCCAACGAACAGTTCTCAGTTCTCCTTCTCTCACATGCTTTTTCCTTTTAAGGGACTCTAGATTTAGACTTCTTTAAATATTATAGTGTTTCTAAATGTATACTTTCATAGCTCTGCAGAAGAAAAGAAAGAGAACCCAGGGAAAAAAAAGGAAAAACTCTTCTTTTATTAATACTTTATTTCAGTGAGGGGCAGGTGGTGACGCCAGCCTGGCACTCCGCTCTGTGATGCTGAATCCAAAGGGGGGTGGAGTTTCGATTCCTGGGTCGACTCATACTCATTGAGTGTGTGCGTACATGCTCATTATCCTGGCTGGCTGAGAAGGCCGTAGGAATGAGGCCTTTTGAGGGTGCCACACACTCATAAAAGGAAGAAACAATATACTGAAAAATGGAGAAATATTGCCAGTGTTTCTAAAGTCTGAAGTTCAGGAGTTTAAATTTCTTGTTGCCTTCATCCTAGG